GAAAGATCTGATGACCCGGCCTTCTCAATTCCCAACATCTGAGAGGTTCAAAAAGGATATGAGAGAAAAAAGAAGTTGACAGCAGAGAGGTGAAGAACTCTGGCCGAATTTGCAGATTAAAAAAACGTAAGAAAATTCAGGCGATGAGGACGTCCAGAGTGAAGCTGGTACAATTAGGATCTTATGAAATTGGCTAGACTGGAGGTGTCAAGGAAATAAGAGGTAGCCATGCGACTGCTCCTTGGCAGCACTGATCAACTGACATGCAAAGTGCAACATTGCTGAATGAACTGAAACTCACATCCCGTATCGCAAAATGATCAGCTGATTGAGTCGCTTAGAGATGAATTGAAAAGTTTGCAGAAACAATTGTAAATAAAAGAGTAGTTTAATACCGGAGGTAATGAGCAAACAGGACACACAGATATTTTTATAGAATCAAAAATTATATATGGACAGGAGCTAATGGTGAGAATCGAATGTTGATTGCTGAAAAGTTTAGTGATTGTGAGAGGGCATTGCGTGACTTGGCAACGTATAGAGGTCTAATGGACAGTAGGCCACAATGGCCGAGCGCACAGCCAGCAACCAGTTTCGCATGGCATAGATTCGTCTGAAAAACATGCTCGCAAAAAAGATATCGCGGACGCGGAGAATTACGCGCGATCGCAACGCCGCAAGGGGCGAAAGCGCGACCTGGAGATTCGGGAAAGTGAGTGAGTGAGCGAATGCTAGGCGAAATAGGATTGCTGCAGTCAAAATGTTCGTTCAGTCGACAAATGAACACTCATGTAGAAAGGGGAAAAGCTAAATATACTCAGATATGTGAAACACGATAAATGCCGCTTTGCGTAATTTGGGAATGAAGGAGCTAGGACTGACATGGCAAAAATTCAGATTTTTTAAAAATCATGTTACAATTGTGGGAGTCTCTGGAAGAAAAACAGGTTAGTTAGAAATGTCTTCTGGAGCGCGGTCCATTAGGAAAAAGATATACGGAAGAAGATGGCTGATTACGGGAATATGTAAAAATTTTGGATGATTTCGAGTCAGTATCCAGTCCTAAGTTCAGTGTTAGCCCCTAGTGCTACCGTGCAACCGACAACACCTCATAGAGTAGGTGCAGTCGTGCATTCCAAAAAGTGGAAGGAAGCAAGTTCTGCGTGGGATAGGAGTCGAGACTTTGAGTTGAACTAGGCGAATGGATCTAGGCCATCGCCGGTGTGTCGAGCGGCCGACGAATTGCAGCCACAAGTGGCGGCAGGCGAACGGCCTTCCACCCGGCACCAAAATGGGTCTACGTCGCGAATGGCATTGATTGCAGAGACTTCGACAGAAGACACGACACACACTAACACATACATAGATTCATATTTGGCATTAGTGACTTCTCGCCGAAAATACTGATAACACGTCCAAAAGTTCGTAACCTTCCCAGAGTTTGCTCATGACAAAATCGCTCAGCGTCTTTCGTTCCATAAAATTTGAATAACATATGCTCACTGTTACTTATGTATAAATACAAGCTAACGGTAGCACTCTTATCGGTCTGACTAAGAAATCTTCCTCCAAAGTGCGCAATATTAATATAGCTTCGAGCTTATGTTTTTTGTAGTGCCAGTAAGGAGAATTCCCTTACCTCCCTGCACGCCTAGGGACAATTGGCATTATTTATTTC